ACGATGCCATTGACAGAAATATTTCAAAAAATTTGGTTTACTCACAATAAATTCATGAAAATGACCAAAATAGCGATTTTTGGGCTATTCAACTACAAATAACTCAAAAACCTGACGTGCTACGCAAATTCGGCGCCCAGATTCGGATTCAGCGCACAAAATTACATCAAAAATCACTATTGCATCTTAAAAAGAAATTTTGACTCCCTTTTTTGCAGGCCTGTGTTATGAATGTATCCCGTATAAAATTGAAACTCTTCGATTTTTACTACTCGGCACGATCTCGGTCTCTGAATTCTATAGATCTTTGTGAAATGTCGAGAACAAGAGCACGCAAAGCGTAACAAAGTAAGATGGCTATGGGGTGGAAGCTGCTACGGGCCGGTGACTCCCTCGATGCAGTTCCTGGTGACGTCTGACTAAGCGTTCTATTTCGACGCACTCTCGGAGGCCGCATGACTAATCCACCGCGCGCATACATCAACGCAGGTGGAACTCATCCGAGAATGTCGCGTTTCGAGATTTAGATTAGTAGGCGAGGGAGAAGTTTGAGGCGCGTTATTATACGGCGCGTCGTGCTCGTATAAATTCCATGTACAATTATTACTTTATAATGATCTCACTGTCGTTTCTACACGATTCGAACCTTCAGCTATGAATGTACACAATGTGCATACGTGACCAATCGAGATTTGAGGACTTTGAAGAAAGGGAAATCAGTTTTTCTATTAGCAATCAAGATTCAGAGGATCAAGGCCTAATCTACTTTAACAATATAAAAATTTGATATTTAGATATTTTTGTTAGAAATTGATTTTTTTAGTATTTTGTATATGTATTTATTGACATACATATGTTTTTATTTTAAATAATACGTCAAAATTTTTAAATTTCTATTTTTGTGTTTTTTTGTAGCGTATTAAAAAATGCATGAATCGAATTTCATTGGAAAGAAATCATAAAATGTAGTGTCATTTTATATAAAATTAGATATTTTATATAAAATATAAACATTTTATATAAAATATTTTTATATAAAATTAGATATTTCAATTTTGTTAAAATACTTTTATTTCTTGAAGATCAGAAAAATAATAAAAATTGAATATTTTGTTAAGACACTAAATAAATAAATAAAAATAAATACACTGAGAAAAATCGTTTGATTGTACCAAGAAGACGTATATGATTGAAGGCATTTTGGTTAAATCAAACAAGAATTTCTAGTTATCATGATAAGACTCGATTTTTTATAACTAGAACGTTTAATAGATTTGACTATAAGGATTTGGTTAGTATTTTCTGGTTGAATCTATAAAATTTCTTGTTGCATTAATTTCTTTGCCACTCTTAACTTAACTCGTATTCAATATTTGCCATCAAATGTATATAAAGAACTAGTATTAACATTAAATCCAAAGTATATTTTTTTCTCTTACGAGCAGTAGTGCCAAAAAGAGGATGCTAGTTCTCTGATTGTGTGTGTTTGAGCTGCATGCTCTTCTTGCATCACTGTTTATCAGTTTAATTTCTAACAAACTGAATTTAAAATAATTTATTCAATAATCTGGATTGAATTTATCCAATAATTTTGTTGGAATTCAGAATATTAAACAGACTTTTGAGATTAGATGGAAAAAATTTTAGACGACTGGTGCTGGTGAGTTTAATATTATTAACCAGAAAATTTGGTAAATTTAACAGGAAGAAATTATTCAGATTCATCTGGTAATTCCTATAAGAATTCTGGTTCGTCCATTTTCCAATAGACATACTGGTTGAATCTACCAGAATTCTAATTAATGCAACCAGATTTTTTTCTCAGTGTAGAGTAGATTGAATCCTTAATTTACTTTTTCTACAATTAATTTATATTATTTTGTTACGTTGATTGAAAGTTATCTGTAAATTTCTTTAAAAATGTATCACATTAAAAATTGTAACGTTTACATATCATTTAACATTCTTTATTTTCTCTTTTTTCTATTTATCTTTATTTAATATTCCTCTCTAAAGCGTATATAACACAATTAATATTTTTATATTAAATTATAAAAAAACAAATAAAAAAATCTTTACACACAAATCACGCGTGTAATTTCTTGAGAAACCGTTTCGAGTCGAGATAACACGTACAAAGTTCAATTATACATATTAATCGATACGCGATAAGCAACGCAATAAACGTTTCGGGAATAAAGATCAAACTAATCTCAACACATGCGTCGAGGTATATTTTTCGATACTTTCTACATCGCGACTTATTTCGCTTTTCTAACGAGAAGAGATATAATAAGATGATCCTTTCTACCACGACTATTCCGTGAATAAGCAGATTTCGCGACGCTTGCCGAGGACCGAGAACGTGTATTTACAGTACGTGTCACTTTCGTCGAACAACGCGACGAGAATAGGAATAAAACCGATTGAGCGGAAGTCGACCTGTCGAAGATCACTTTCGTTGACTTTCTTCTTTCCGATCGAAATTTTTCGCGGTCCGGCGAACACGCGGATTGTCGTTCCCTAAACGCGAATCGGTAGAAAGTTGAGTTTCGAAAACGCAATGGACGGCCACGACAATTGCTATGCGAACGGCGTAAAGCACGTCCGGAGCTCGTAATAGTAATCTTTTTTTTTTTATCCGAAATCAAAATGCGAGGTGCAACGAGCGGAAGTGCTCGGAATGTCAAATATATTTGATACATATCGAACCGCGAACGAGACCTGCGATAGGCCCGGTAGTCGGTCGGATAAGCGTAATTCAATGAAGAGAAACGCAGAGACGAAAAATTATCGGGAAATGATTCAGCAGATTAAAATAAAATGTTTCTTCATTGTGGGACGTTAAATATAAACGCTACATCATTCTCTACCATTCCAGTGAGCAATAGCCGAAATATGCATTAAACGCTTATCATATCACATATCGCTAATTTAATCAGTCTAACAATAGACCTTTAAAACTCTCGTCGATATCTGTGAATGTTATCATAAATTGTTCTATGCAATTTAAGTCCTCTATTATAAAAGAAATAATGCTTGTCTAGATTTTATCTCGCCGATTAACGTTACCCAACCGATTCGATGCTCAAAATTTTTCTCTCCGTCGAGAATTTTTTATTTTAACGATAAATATAATGATTCGTAACAATGATAAATAACATTCTTTATTCGTGAATATTTTCAAATTGAAGAGAATTGTATTTTAAAATTAAGGATGTTTTGTACCTATTTTCAAAATATTAAGAATTTAATGAAAATTGTACAGAATGTCCTTACATATGTTTAGAATATTCAGTACAATTTTTAAATCGATTCACTAAAGCGTTCACAAGTTATAAGGATTTTAATTTGCACCGAATTAACATGTGTTCTTATGGGAAACGTATAACCACGTCGATTCAAATGACAAAAACACATGGAAATAATATTCAGAATTTGTTTAAAATTTGCAAAAGTTTAGATACAGAGGAAATATTTGATCAAATAATATTATACAACTACTAACTGGTTAAAAAGATATTAAATATAATTCATTGAAGTTAGCCATGTATCTATCACAAGGCGAAATTCTCTGCCAAAAGTTAATCACTTCGATTAACAAAATTCGGAATATTTCAGTAAAAACGCAATAAATATTAAAAAATACATTTCTGTACTGCAGCTAAAATCAAATTGTAATATTCCACACAATTTTTTACTCAAAATACGCCAAAAGTGGATATATTCGTCAATATTGATTTTCAGCTATTTTTTGCTGGGATTGTACATACAAAACATCCTTAAAATACCTAATTTTAAAATGACACTATTTTGTTATTCTTCAATTTTTTCTAATGGAAGTAGCTTCAGTATCCCAAAAACATTCTACGGAATAAAATTCGAATTTTCTTTTTTCAGATAATTATATGAGGAGCAGCATGTCATATTATCAAACCATGTTTTTTTGAACACACAAAGGGGCTCTTATTGAACAAAAAACCTAAATCTTCAAGATTTTTAAAAATATTGTATGTATGTAAAAATAATGTATGTAAAAATATTAACGTTCAATAAAAGCATATATAAAACGCTACAAAATTTAATATATTTAAAAAAATTCTGAAAAATCATCAATTTTTCCATCTACAATAGATTCAGCCTTTAGTTAAAAGAATATCTCCGACTGCGCATATCGATATTTAAAACTCATGAAAGTAACTTTAAGGATGTTTTGTACCAATTTTCAAAATATTAAGAATTTAATGAAAATTGTACAGAATGTCCTTACATATGTTTAGAATATTCAGTACAATTTTTAAATCGATTCACTAAAGCGTTCACAAGTTATAAGGATTTTAATTTGTATCGAATTAACATGTGTTCTTATGGGAAACGTAACCACGTCGATTCAAATGACAAAAGCACATGGAAATAATATTCAAAATTTATTTAAAATTTGCAAAAGTTTAGATACAGAGGAAATATTTTATCAAATAATATTATACACGTACTAACTGGTTAAAAAAATATTAAATATAATTCAATGAAGTTAACCATATATCTGTCACAAGGCGAAATTCTCTGCCAAAAGTTAATCATTTCGATTAACAAAATTCGGAATATTTCAGTAAAAACGCAATAAATATTAAAAAATACATCTCTGCACTGTAGCTAATTATAATATTAAATTGTAATATTCCGCACAATTTCTTACCCAAAATACACCAAAAGTGGATATTCATCGATATTGATTTTCAGCTACTTTTTGCTGGGATTGTATAAACAAAACATCCTTAAATAGAAATAATTCTAAACACAAACAATTGAGTAATAAAGAAATTAACTCTATCAGCGTTTATAAGATAATAAATATTTTGTCGAAGAGATAACTTGTATTATTGCTATTATTTATTCTTTCTCTAGTAGAAGAAAATCGCTGCATCATTTAAATTTTGGAGCAACGCTCGAATATTATTCCATTTTAAAGAAACATACAAACTCACCTTTTAATTGCTGACTCTCGAAAATGTGCTTTGTCAATTCTCTACGAAGCTGTTATGTTTTTCGTTCGTTCAAAGGTGACAAAACGCCTTGCTTCTCGGCGTTCCTCATTTCCAGTCTGGTGGGGAGAAAAAAATGTGCGTACCACACATTTAGGAAAGGGCAAAAGCCAGTATCTGAAACAAAAGATCCGGATGCGAAGAAAGAGAAAAAATAAGAAAGGAGGAAGAATAAAAAAGAAAGAGGAGAATAAAAAAGAGAGAGAAAGAAAAAAATGCGGCACAACGTCTTCCTGATCATAATTTAAGAAGAAACTGAACGGATCGATTGCATCAAAAATTCATAAAATCTAGTATATTTCAAAATTAATAAATTTGACATTGTATAAATATTCTTGTATAAGTATTTCTCTTCAAAATAAAAAATTAATAATAAATTTGTGAGTTAAAGATTTGTCCCGTAGAATTAAAATTTTTATTTTCATGAATTTTTTAAGTCGTACATTTAAAATGTAATGTAAATAAATTAATTCGATGTAAGATTCGAATTTTCAGATTAAATTAAATTAAATTTTAAAGGGCAAATTTTTTTTACTTTAACAATCACAATTTAATTATTAACTTTACATTTTAAAAGATTGAAAGTGCCTTGCGCAATGTTAAATTCATGAATCTCGAAATGTATTATTAACTTTTGACGTAACTGATCCGTCATGTTCCTTTTTAAAGCCCACTCCTTTAAGGCGTACACGAATAAGAATTTGATGTTGTCCCAGTTGATTATTTTGTTATGATTCATATTCTTCGAAAATTATGTATTTGTAACTGTAGTAATATTTTTAAACAATTATGAAATGTATTTAACTTAAGCTTGTGAAATATTTGTTTTCCTTTGAAATGAGCTGAATTATATTGATTATTTTTCAATTAAATTTTGATATACATATTTGATATAAAACCCATGTTTAATACAAGTACAAAATATTAGTTTTATAAATATCGGTAAGTCAGTTACATTTGTACATTAAATATTTTTAAATATTATTATTAATATTATTATTAAATATTATTCTTAAAATTAAATATTATTATTAAAATGATTATTAAATATTATTATTAAAATGATTATTAAATATTATTATTAAAATTTGTGCATATTGACTGTACGTCAAATTCAATTGAAAAGTAATCCTTCGATGTATAAAAAATATTTCATTCAATGCATTATGAGTTCTCGTAGAAAAAATATTGCAAAAACTTGCTGTGTGGAATTAAAATTTTTATTTAATACCATATTATAACATATATGGGGTGGCCAGTGTTTTTAATACACAGCATCATCGCGACGATGGCTGAATGGATGTGCATTTATCAATCGTTTAATATCTTATATCGAATTCGAGAGAGCGTAACACGAGATTATTCTCTTCATTCGCTTTCTATCCCTTGTTCCATCTCCGTATCTGTGTATACATAAATGAAGGTATCGTACCGTATATTTTTGCGCGCTGGCTACCGGGTCTTCGAAAGGCTCGAGATTCTCTCTCCGCGAACATTGAGATTCGCTTCTGCTTTTCTTCGCTCATCAATAATGACGCCGTCTACCGTTCATCCACAGCTTCATTTAACGAAGAACAGAGAGTGACGAATTGTTGCAGTGTTAACGAGTAAGGTCGACGATTACAGAGGTATGTAACAGACGTATATAGGGTGTTTCAGGAGAAGTAGTAAATATTTTGAGAGATTGTAAATGTCATAATATCGATTATTTTGAGTAAGAAAGTTTATACGAATACATGTGTGTCTATAAAAAAATGTCTTCTTTTATTCTAATTGAAAACAAATGTTGAAAATAGACATATTTTAAAAAAATAAAGAACACTCCATTTTTTGCATTATTTTTCAAATATAATATTACTTTTTTCATATTTTTTATTAATAAAAAAACCTTTTAAAAGTCTTATCTTTTTTCAAATGTAATTTTAATGAGACTTTTATATCAAATGTAACATAATTCAGATAATTTTCAGTTAGATGGATAACAAAAATTTTTATTATGCATCTAATTGAAAATTATTTCTCTATCGAATTATATCGTGTTTGATATTATTTTAAGCTCAAAAGTCTTATTAATCTATTAAAGTTATTTTTGATAAAATGTAAATTAAAAATACAAGAAATTTAGTTTTTTTATTATATTATGTATTTTACATGTTAAATTAAGTGATTAAAGTGTATTTTAAAAAATTATAAGCTGTGTTTTTGTATCTATAATAAAGACAATTCACTCAAGCTCAATTTTAATTTGTTTCATAGAACTTATATATAATTAATTATGTAATTAACATAGTAATTTCATATAAAATCCAATTGGAATGCGATCTACTTAAAATAGTGATTAATTTAAATTTGTCACCTAAAAAATAAGAAATAATGAAAATCAACTTGCAATAATCAAAATATAAATATATTAACAATAATTTTAAAAAATATATTAACAATAATTTAAGAAAAATATATTAACAATAATTAAAAAAAAATATATTAACAATAATTTTAAAAAATATATTAACAATAATTTTTAAAAAATTTTGAAAAAAATTAGGTTTGTTTTTTTTCAAAAATACTGTATTTTATGAAAAAAAAAAGATTTGATATGATAATCATTTGACAATAATTGATAAATAAAATTGATGATGATATTCTCAAATATAATTGATGTGAATTATAAATCCCTTTTCAGTTATTTGTATCATTCAATATCGTCGATAAATACAAATAATAAATTTATTGTTTTCTAATACCTTTCACGATGGCTTTGTACGCGCCAATTTCAAACGGCTGCATCCATTGACAATCGGACACTCGGTTTACCCGAAACTTTTTTCCCCCGTGTCAGCGTAATGCACGCCGCAACCTCAAAAATATTTACCATTCCTCTCCCGAGGAACACCTCTCTGTAAAAAAGAAACATCTCTCTCCTCGCTTTTCGCGTTCGGCCTCGACCCGCGCGCGAGCAAAGGTTCCCTCGAGGTTGTCGCGTCGGAGCCGAGCCAAGCCGAGGACGCCCGACTCGACCCGATTCACGAGCGAGCCCGAACGCGGCCAAGTCGCGGCGGAAACTGCCGAGCGCACGGTCGCGTACAAACAACGAACGTGCCCGCCCGCCCGGTCAGTTCCTCTCGGTGAATCGGCCCGGTCGGTTGTCGTCGATCGTCTCTCCGCGTTCCTCTCTCTTTCTCTCTCCTCTCTCTATCTCTATTCCTCTTTCGCGTGCGCGCGCGCGCGCGAGCACGCCTCGGATTTCATGACTAACGCCAACGTTGGAGCGATAGCAGTGAAATATCCTCCTCGTCCTCGAGTGGCGAGATCTCGCGCCTCGTGCACCGCGATTCAAGTGCGATCGATAAGTTGGTTTTGACAAGCGCCACGGACAAGCCTCGAGCCAGCAGCCCACCCGTTATAGCTCTCCATCTCGCCCAGCATCTCTCTCTGTCTGTCTGTCTCGGCGCGGAGGTGTGGATCCGGTGTCCTCCCGTCTGTGGATATTACGTTGGGGAAGCAGGAGAGCCTCTCTCGCAAGGTAAGAGACAAGGTGGAAATCGCACGCGAGAATTTAGAAAGGCGACGATAACGAGCGTTTCTGCTCCCGGGAAAGAGATCGTAAAACGCGAGAGATCGCGTTGGGAATCCTTGACTTAGCTACCGCTACCTCTCCTCCGTCTGACCCAAATCCACTTTTAATTCGCGACACGTCGTCGCGGAAATTCCGTTCTCAAGGTGCCCCCGAGGCCCCCTCGAGTGACACACGATCCTGCGGGATATTTTTTTTTCTTCCCATACAGCACGGAACGTTGCAATAATATTGCGGCAATATTGCGATGTTATAACAATATTAATAATATTGCGGCAATATTGCTGCAATGTTACAGCAATATCAATAATATTGCGGCAATATTGCTGCAATGTTACAGCAATATTAATAATATTGCGGCAATGTTGCGGCAATGTTGCGGCAATTTAATAATATTGAAGCAATATTGCTGCAATGTTACAGCAATATTAATAATATTGCGGCAATATTGCAATGTCGCTGCAATGTTACAGTAATATTAATAATATTGCAGCAATATTCTGTATATAGGTATAGGTTCACGTCTACTCAAGTGTCATATGATAGAGTGAATAAATTTAATTGCCACTATCTCTCGTGAAGAGCACAGGTATTATTTTACAGCAAACCGATTGCGTAATTGATATCGCGATGCCTTTTATTAGTAAGCGAGCCATAATTCCCAGAAAATATTCGAGGAGAAAATAATGTGATGTGGATAATGATTAATTCGAAGGCGCGATTGTTTCTTTTTTTGGAATGTTTTTCGACGAGTTACGTACAAACACATGCGGGACTTGAAAAACGGAATGATCGGGGGGGCTCGATTTTGAGGCTTTCGATTTAATGGAATCATTATTCAATCTCATTGTTGGTTGCGTCAACCCGATTCTGATTAAGTTGAGCAAGCCTCACTTACCGATTCGCAATTCTTGTTGAAATTATTATTGTACAGAAGATTTCGTAGACAGAGAGAGAGAATATGTGCTCTTAATGGAATAACGTTGACATAAACAAGGTATGTAAATAGCTCGTAGACGTCCGATCCTGATGCCTAGAAATGTCTTCGGCGGATTATTAGCCTTAAAGATTAGTCTTAAGATTAGTCTGCGTGCATGTTATTACGCAGTTAATAATTAGCGATGCAAATTGAGCGGATGGTCCCTTTTCCACGGGGCTTTCGTGCGAACATGTTTCCATTAACACAACCAGCGCTGTCTCGCGTGTTATTTTGGCGTGTTACATAATAGACGCCATTAAATCGGAGTTGATTTATAAAGCGTGATTTATAAACCGCGAAATAATTTGTGAAATAATTCCGGAAGCTGCAATACACGAGACAACTCGTTTTTTTATATTTCTCTTATCAAAAAATTTCATACGGAATATATTAATCAAATCTCTAAAATTATATAGGCATATTTTCGAAAATGTAATATTCATCGCGTAAACACTCGATGGATATTTAAAAACGTCTTAAGATAACTTTTAATTTCCCGGAAATATTTTCATCGTTTTTTAGATTTTTGTTTCGTTTGATCGAAACCGCTAATTTCTTTATTTAATTGAGGTTAAAATTTTGCCCACGAAAATAAGTATAAATGATTATTTTTCGCATATGCACGAAATAATTAAAATAATGTATAATTATTTTAAATAAAATTATTTTAAATTATTAAAAATAAAATTATTATAAAATTATTAGAAATAAAATTATTTTTTCAAATCTTTCTAGAATTATGAAATATATAGTTAAATTAATTAAATTGAAAAATTAAGTTAAATTAATTATTATGTAATATATAATTTAAATAATTAAATAAAAAATTATTTTAAACAAAATTACTTTTTCTTTATTCATGTCTAATTATTCATGTCTGAATACATTTGATTCAGAAGCTTTATTTTTTTAATATGAGAATTTAAATGCTAATTCCGTGTCATTCATCATTTTCTCTCGCCGTGATAGAAAGAAACAGCCTACGATGTTGACGATGCGCATGTCTATCGTCGAGTTAACACTTGATCAATATCACGTGGTATTTCTCCGTAATTTTGCTTCAAAAAAAGTTGAAAATTTTTATTATTACATTTGACAAATTCTTTATAATTCGTTTGCTTTTTGGCATTATTCTGAAATTATCTCCATTGCAATTTATTCGCGTTTTGTGAGCAATTTTTGGGTAGCAAGTATACTCTTTCATGCAGCTTTAACTGCACGTTGTGACGCGGAATTTATCGATTAGCCGGTGAAAGTGACGTCTCTTGGTTATTTGATACAAATTTAGAAAGCCGCGTGCCATCTTCATCTCGATGCACGAATCGTGTTCGCACTTTTACATATTCGAATTTCGAATTTCTTATTCACTTTTCTCGATTTTTAATATATTGTATTTTAATAAGAAGCTAAATATTAGAGTTTTTATATATTTGCATTATTTTTTTCTTATTATATTATATTTTTTCAATATTATTATATTGTTTTTTTTAAATATTATTAAAAATATTTATAATAAAATTTAAAAATTTAAATATTAATAATTATTATTTTTTTAATATTATTAATATTAATATTAATATTCAATTAATTATTAAAACATAATGTTACAAATTGAAAAAAAAGTAATATAAAATAACATAGATTTATATAAAATTAAAATATATATATGTTTTTATTTATTTATTTACTTATATTTTAAAATTTTATATAGCTATCTCAAAATATATACAGGGTGACCCCGAACGTTCCAGCCAGACTTTGAGATCTTATAGGAAATTTAATTCTGAACAAAAAATTTCGTATAAACTGGGTCGAAAAATGCTTCCTTAAGAAGTTATCGCTCAGAAACCTTTGATGAAGGAAGAGCAAAAGGTGAAAAGAAAATGAAATAAAAAGAAAATGAAACTAAATAAATTTCTTGAAAAAATCGATAAAAATAAAAAATAAAAATCTTTTTCTTTTATGAAAATAAAATAATTTTTTTTTAACTAATATTTTTAACTAATATTTTAGTAATAGCACATAATAGTAGAAAATGAATAAAGACGTTTTTCAAGAACTTTATTTAGTTTCATTTTCTTTTTATTTCATTTTCTTTTCACCTTTTGCTCTTCCTTCATCAGAGGTTTTTGAGCGATTCTTAAGGAAGCATTTTTCGACCCATGTTTATAAGAAACTTTTTGTTCAGAATTAAATTTCCTATAGATCTCAAAGTCTGGCTGGAACGTTCGGGGCCACCTTGTATATATATATATATATATATATATATATATATATATATATATACTCGTATAGATGATTTTTTGTGCTATTAGAGTGTACGTAATTTTATGATCTATAAAGTTGGCTTATAAAAATTTCGAAGTCTCCTTGACGCTGTTTAACGACGATGCCGCAACTGCATCGTTAAAAACGAATCATGCGTTTTTATCGAACAACGTAATCGTCGTGATTTTGCTCTACATGCGGAACAGGTGGAGGAAACGTGTCGCTTCCCGTTCTTTATAACTCGATATAGCGGAAATGCTAACAATCGTAATGCGCGAACCGGCAGACGGGAGGATGGCCTGATCGGGTAGAAATCGATGATTCGTTTTAGCCGCTTATTTGTCCGCTTTAATAGTAACGGAGGAAGTCGGCTGTCGCGCTTTCACGATTATTATACTTTCTTCAAGGCTCGATAATCCTTCAAAGGTGTCTTCGATACCTTCATCTATAAATTTTATTTAAATAACTCGGCGGAGAAAAGAGAGAGGTCGATGCACGAGGATGACCGCCAAGAGGGATGTTTGTGAAATATTAAAAAGGCAATTAATTAAAACGGATGGGACAGTGACTTGTCGGTTCCTGGCCGGCAAAAGCGCTAATAGACTTAATGCACTTGGCAATTATTTCTTCTTACCGCGATCCCTTAGCGATCTTAGTAGCCGTGCATCCGCACGATTATGGTTCCATTGTAACGCCAGTCGGTTGACTTCAAGTATCGAATAATTTAATTTTTTTTTTAATTAAAAATTTGAAATTAATGAGATAAAGGGCACTTAGTTATGAACATAATTGACGAATTAAGTTCACGATGGTATTATTATCAATTTTTACGACTGAATTTTATCGAAAAATTAATAAAATAATGAGAAATAATGAGAAATTTAATATCGACAAAAATATTTGGAAAATATAAAAATATAAAATAATACGATATTTTGGAAATTTTTGGAAAATATAAAAATATAAAATAATACGAATTGGAAATTAACGAAATACAGGGAATTTAATCACGAATATAATTGACAAATTAATTCCAGTTATAGCGGTATCGATCTTTACTATTGACATAAGTTTTATCCAAAATATATGAAATTTTTAACAATATAAAATCTTTT